CATTGTGGGACTTCCAGTCTGTCAATAGTGTCACCATCAGCTGAGCAGCTTATGTCACTTGATGTCTCTCTGTCTCTCTCTCTCTGTCTCTCTCTCTGTCTCTCTGTCTCTCTCTCTGTCTCTCTGTCTCTCTCTGTCTCTCTCTCTGTCTCTCTGTCTCTCTCTCTCTCTCTCTCTCTGTCTCTCTCTCTCTCTCTGTCTCAATTTTTTTTTTTTTTTTTTTTTTTTTTTTTTTTTTACATAGGGTTTGACAAGGTTAAAGATCCCTAGCTTTATTGACAAGCTATTTACAGGTTAAGGATTCCTAACTTTATTGGCAAGCTAAGAGCTGTTTCCTACATCAGCTCATTTGAAAGCATTTTTATTGTTATGAGACATACAAGTAGGGAACAGGATGAAGTTGGAGCCATCTGTGGGTCAGCATTTTCATTTGATCAACTGACTTTATCTCGTTGACATCATTATGCTGTACGAATGTGTTCCATACTCGAGTCATCCTGGGTATATAGGATCTCAGATGGAGTGAAGTTCTGGAGAAGGGTACAGCCAGAGTGAAGTTGCTGCTTTCTGCCCGTCTTGTGGCATAAAAGCTTGTTTCATACTGTCCTTGAAGTGGATCCAAGTGTGGTACTTTGACAATATTGGCCTTGTACATAACAGTAAGGCCACCCACATCCCTCCTATGTTGAAGGCTCTGCTGAAATGACAGATCTATCCAGGATGGGTCCAGGCGAGAGATGAGACGTCTTGCTCTGTTCTCTATTCTGTCAAGCAGTCGCAGATGAGAGGGGGGGCAGGCAAACCAAGAAAGTGGAGCATTCTCAAGGTGCGAGCGTACTTGTGCCTCGTACAGAATCTTGCAGCCCCTACTGCCAAGTAGATGCGAGATACGGCGAAGTGCTGTAAGCTTCCTGGCTGCCTTGTTTGCAAGATTTACAACATGGTTCTTCATGGTTAGTTTGGAGTCAAATTTCACCCCAAGGATATCAACTTCTCCAGGTGCCAACACCCTCCCATTCATCCTTACTACTGTACCAGCATTACCATCATGGGGCCTAGAGACGATCATCATTTGCGTTTTCTCAGGTGCAAATGTTACTTTCCATCTATTTCCCCAAGCTGATATAGCTCTCAGCTGGTGATTGATGTAGCTTAGAGCAGCTGGCATTTCTTCTCTTGGATAAGTGAATGTCAGTGTGCAGTCATCTGCATATGCATGTGATTCTGGGATGAGATGAAGAAGGTCGTTGAAGTAGACATTCCATAACAATGGTCCCAGCATGCTTCCTTGTGGAACATTTGCCCCAATAGGATGTCTTGCTGATTCCGTTCCATTGAGAACTACACTTAGAGATCTACCATGAATGTAATCACTGAGGAGACATAGGGTAGAGCCTGCAATTCCCAGTGCTTGAAGTTTTGCTAAGAGGCCCTGGTGCCACACCCGGTCGAAAGTGCCAGCAATGTCCAGTGCTACCACACAGCTGACTTTGGATTCATCCAGTGACTGGTGCCACTTAGTGGAGAGGTTTAACAACAGATCAGCAGCAGAGTAACTCTCTATCTGTCTCTGTCTGTCTGTCTCTCACTCTCTCGCTCTCGCTCTCTCTCGCTCTCTCGCGCTCTCTCGCTCTCTCTCTGTCTCTCTCTCTCTCTCTCTCTCTGTCTCTCTCTCTGTCTCTCTCTCTCTCTCTCTCTGTCTCTCTCTCTGTCTCTCTGTCTCTCTGTCTCTCTGTCTCTCTGTCTGTCTCTCTGTCTCTGTCTCTGTCTGTCTGTCTCTGTCTCTGTCTGTCTCTGTCTCTCTCTGTCTCTCTCTGTCTCTCTCTGTCTCTCTCTGTCTCTCTCTGTCTCTCTCTGTCTCTCTCTCTGTCTCTCTCTCTGTCTCTGTCTCTCTCTCTGTCTCTCTCTCTGTCTCTCTCTCTGTCTCTCTCTCTGTCTCTCTCTCTGTCTCTCTCTCTGTCTCTCTCTGTCTCTCTCTCTGTCTCTCTCTCTGTCTCTCTCTCTCTCTCTCTCTCTCTCTCTCTCTCTCTCTCTCTCTCTCTCTCTCTCTCTCTCTCTCTCTCTCTCTCTTTTTTACACAGGGTTTGACAAGGTTAGGTTAAGGATCCCTAGCTTTTTTGACAAGCTATTTACAGATTAAAGATTCCTAACTTTATTCACAAGCTACGAGCTGTTACCTACATACCTCAGCTCATTTCAAAGCATTTTTATTGTTATGAAACATACAAGTAGGGAACAGGATGAAGTTAGAGCCATCTGTGGGCCAGCATTTTTATCTGATCAACTGACTTGATCTCGTTGACATCATTATGCTGTACGATTGTGTTCCATACTCGAGTCATCTTGGGGATAAATGATCGCAGATGAAGTGATGTTCGGGAGAAGGGTACAGCCAGAGTGAAGTAGCTGCTTTCTGTCTGTCTTGTGACTTATTTATACAAATAATACAAAAAACACCAAAAAATGCAAAGAATCACGAAATGGTGTACAGCGAGGTTCTGGCAGGTCGTATTTGTTCGGTCGAGTGCTGAGCTTTGTTTGAGTTGGGAGCTGGTCCTATACCAAGGTTCCACTGTATATGCAAACATACACACTGCATGTGTAACTTCACAAGTAGCCTTGCATAATTAAGCGTGTGGATCAGGAATCCAATCATCCCTGTAAAGAACTACCAATGAATTTAGAAAGCAATCTAAAATTGGTGGCTTGCCTTACTGCTGTCTAGGTTTGTTACTCTTCTGGTATGGAGCAGTACATACTTATGACTAAAGCATTGTTAGGACACTTACCATGTTTTACCTTTAGTTTTTAATAAAAAACAAAATAATTTGTATTTTTTAAATGTACATAGAAATCACAATGAATAGATTTGCCATTAGTGCACATAGTAAAGAGAGAGAATAATGTCTAACTTGTAGATGAGAATGAATTTTTGCCCCCCTTGGATGGAATACTAGTCTGGGTGAATGTTGTACAGCATGGGCTGCAGTGGCTGTAGCTGAGAGGAATAATTTTCTGGGCATAAAACATAGAGCATTATGTTCTAGGGACTTGTAGGAAGATTACTTTGTATACCAGTATGTCATCCAAGGACTACCAAGGAATCCTTTTGTGGGGTCTGCAATAATTAAAAACACAATGGTTTCAACAATGTTCATAATAAGGATGGTGTAACAAAACTCTCAGGTGGTGTTGAGGCTTCTCCAGGGTGCATCTACATACCTGAATCCTGTGAAACCCTTGCACCTAGTATAAGTTAGGGTGGAAGAACCTTCACTTCAATTATAGAGCTGTTGACATTATTTTTTTATTAGTACTTAGTTGCAATAATACTACTTGTCCAAAGAAGTAATTAGAAATAAGGGCACATTAATAACTCGCACATAGGAGAAAAATTTATGTTTCGGACCAAGTTGGATCGAAATGTTATGATGAGTTTCTTCCTCTTATTTTCGGGTTATTTGTGTTACTGCAGTAACAGTATTTTAACTTTTTATTCCTTAAAATTAGAGAGTTTTGCTAGTGTGTGATCCTTGTTATGGGAGTTAAAGATGAGATCTTCCTAGGTAGTACTTTATTATTAAACTAAATAACTTGTTCATACATACACAGACTTGCCTATCCTTGTAATATTTGCCATAAGGATTACTATTAATATTATTATTACTTTTTTGATCTTATGGTGTTCCCATGCATTCTTAAAGTTTTCTGCATTCTCTGCTTCATTTTCCTTCCTGAGGAAAAATCACAGTGAGTATAGGGCAGAATTGGGTCCAGAAAATGTACACACTCATAGTCCTGAAGAAAGATAAAAGCCAAAACATCAACAGGCAGTACTCATTCTGTGATCTGAGACAACTCTAGGGAGCTTATAATGAATCTCTCCACCACTAGTAGATCATAGAGGAAAGTAGTGCTCTGAAATATGATTTGCATACATTGCTTAGAGATATTTCATCACTTAAATTGTTACATATGCTATGAATAGTGCCTCTCGGATTATATACAAACATGAAAATTTAGATATAAATCTGGACTAATTTATATACTGTACATATGTTTGTGTGTAGCAGTCAAACTAGGGAACAGGTGGGGTTTGAATCCATGGTGAGTGAGTTTTAAAACTCCAGGCCAGTGCATAAACCACTTGGCCAGCTGGCTACAATAAAATTCATGCAGCTTGGTATATTTATTCACCATAGAGAGATTAGCCTGGGCCCTACTGTGACCGCAAGTTCCCTCAAGGGGACTTGATTTAGAGTTCGCTACAGCTACATTGGCAGGAGATTCATCTTGTAAAAACTTGCATTTGGGGTCACAGTGGTGCTAATCTCTCTTTCTGGTGTATAAATATACCTAGTTGCATGTATCTTATTATAGCCATCTTGCCCAAGTGGCTTATGGACTGATCTGGAGTTTTACCACTCCCTCGTTAAAAGTTCAAACCTCACCCATTCCATGGTTTGTTTGCAATCGTGTTGATACAATTTTGCAAGTTGTGTGTAGTAGTGTTTTCATTTTAAAAATACCTTACCTTGAGAGAGAAATAATTTGAGATAAAGCTTGTGTAACTTATGGTTAATAATTAACAGTATAAATAGTGATAGTTTAAATTTTTAAATCATTATTTCGCCTTTTTGCAAGAGGTACAAATAGTTCTCAAAAGTGAAAGGCAAGTCTGCATATGTGACTATTAGAGGATCGATTTGTAAACTATACATACGAGTGAGTGCATTAATCCTGTACCAACACAAAAGATTAATATCTTTGAAGTGCATGCTCAGATGTTCATTTGGAAGAGTAAAGGGCACACTCATACTCATTGTATATTAACAGATAACACATTGGTATTTTCACACTGTATCAACAACACTTTTTTTTTCAAATTCTGCTATTTAATACACTGTTTGAAAATAAGAATATATTAATATTTGATGATTATTTCATATTTTTGTAAATTTATTACATTCTGATTAATTTCATGGTCCTCTTCATCACAGATATGAGCACAGAGATGGCAGTGAACTCGTATGATATTGTAAGCACATTCCAGGCAATGGGGATGATGAAATATTGGAAAGGAAAGCACATCCTTCTCAAAAGACAGGTAGGCATATTATCTATTTTTCCAAGCTTATCATCTCTACATTTTGTTTGAAAACTTTTGTTTTGACTTATCGTAATGTAATGTATACCTTTGACTGGTTATGAGGGTTCTTCTGTTCTCCCAGCATGGTCTGAGACCACAATTCCTTGTTAACTACCTTATGAACTAGGCTGTTATTGCTAGCAGCTTGCTTGACTACATAGCCATCATAACTTGGCTGTTAAGACACTTTGAGCAAGTAGTGGTCCAGTTTCCTTCTTTTAAAATGTATGACATAGATTAAGTTATTTACCTAACATAGTGGCTGTACTAATGAATCACTGCTGACAATATTTTCCCTTCAACCAGCTTCAGCCCTCATTACCACTTATAATCCAGTCATGGGTCCTTTCGTTTGTCTAATCATTAACAAGCCATGTATCCAAATTAACCAACTGCAAAGTCACTTTGAGATCTATAAAGTATTTTGACTTTGAGTTTAACAAACTCAAGATTCAATTTGTATTTACTCAAGTATTTCAGGAAGCTGTAGGTAAGCTAACTGTAAGATATTGTTTAAGCATCATTTTTGGCCACATTGACCATTTCCCACTAAGGTAGGGTGACCCAAAGAAGGAAGCATGTTCACCATCACTCACTTAACAGCTGAGTTGCTCACTTTCTGATGGCACATTAAATCCCAAAAATTCACTTGTATCTTTTACTCTGATCTAATTCACTTGTACATTCCTACAGGATGCTCAAGTCCTTCCCACTCATAATCCTTACCTCCCCCCTTTCCCTCCCTATGTCCCCTATCCCTCATTTACCCCTGGCTTTATAACCCTTGGCCTGTCTGTCCTACTTAAAATTTTAAATTACTGAACCATCTGAATAACCCTTCCCCTCCCCCATCCCCTCCACTCTGAATTATATCTTTTATACTACTACTCAGTTTTCAGATTTTTACACTTAGTCTCTACATAATGTTTACCATGTGTGTTGATCTCTTACATATCATTGTCTTTAGCCTCTTTGTTGCTGCAAAATTGAGACCCCTGCCTCACACCTATACAATTGTTGCTACCACTGTTTTCATGTACATTTCCTTTCTTTTGCTTCCATTTATAAACTTTTTTTCTATAGCCTCTGTAGCACACTGTCTACTTTTTTTCCCTCATTTATTCTTTGAGTCACATCTTTCATTTACTCATTTGCCAGCATATTCACTTTAGAGTATCTAAATAAATATTCAAGCTACTACATCCAAAAAACCCACCATTCAAGATTTATGAATGGTGGGTTCAGTTATCAAATCTTTTGTATATCAGTAGATTCATTAATCAGATTAATTTTAAAAAAATATCCTGTAGCATCATGTATTGATATAAATTGTTAAACTTCTTAGCAAGTTAGGCCTAAGTTACTTTACACGTCGTCACAGCACTTGCCTTAAAAAAAAAAATTTCTTCCTTTAGGATTTGTTAGAGGAGTTCTTAGAACGGCAAAAGCGTCGACGAGCTGACTATAAGGAAATTGACCCCAAGTGCCTCAACTGGCGCCCCTATGTTCCACCGCCGCCATCTGAAGAATCTCAGTCCAGCAGTAACAAAAACAAAACTGTTACTGTTAACAAAGCTGCTGCAGATCGCAAGAAAGCACAAGCAACTGCTACATCTCAATAACATAGACTTTCACACGATAGTGTGTGAAATTGAATGTACAATTACATAGGTACATGTGTATAACAAAACAGCTGTGAGTGAATGACACAACGAAAGGGGAATGTACCTACATGGCTCGAGTGCCTTGTGGTTACATTGGTGATACCAAAAATATATCCCCCACATTATTAGTGCTCCATTCCAAATGTGTACCAGCTCAGAAAAGTGTCTTTTATTTACTATGTCTTTGTCTTATTAACATGTAAAAAGAAATGCAACTTTTTGTGCATTGAAACTCATTATTAGGCCATTATTCATGAAGTAATGATCTTAAAAGACTACGTCATCTTGAAAGTGTGTGTGTGTGTGTGTGTGCGCGTGCGTGCGTGCCTGCGTGTGCGTGCATGCCTGCGTGTGCGTGCATGCCTGCGTGTGCACGTGTGTGCACGCATGTGCGTGCACGTGCGTGCGAGATAATCTTGTATGTTTTATGTATGGTTTGATAAAATAATTGCTAGTTTTGGAGAAAATTAAACAATTCCTTGATGAATTAAGAATGTTTTGTCATGAAAGTTTGCATTTGAAAATTTTACTGCCTGACGAGGAAGAAAGATAATTATGATGACTTCGCTGCAACCAGAGATTGTATTGTGTGTTTATAAGCATTGGTATCATGAGCAATATCTTGTTTTTCAGTTAAAGACCCAAAAGTAAATAAAGGAATATTCCTTATGTGATAATGCTTGGTATTCTTACACATACTTTAAGCACTTTCCAGGGAGACTAGAATATTTTAATATAAGACTAAATTTACTTTTTAGTCTTTACTGAAAAATATAATTGAGAACAGTTTGTATAACAAGGCAAACTCCCACCAGGAATAATGACAATGACAAGTGTAGCAGAGAAAGCCTTTATTTGGACAAATTTTAGTTTAGAGCTTTCTTCAAGTGATGAAACTTTGCTTAGATCCAAACGTTGTGACAGTAAAAGCCAATTCTGCTGCATGCATCTTTGTCCTTATACCTGAGAAGAGATGCTCATAATGTTGAACACAAAAATACTTACAAAATGTGATAGATATTATATAATGCATTTGTCATTTCTATGGAAGAAAGGTAATGCTTAATCAGTCTGACTGATTCCAACAAAAATTAAAAATATTATTTTTGTTAATGACTAAAAAATATAATGTGTACATATGTGAATGTTGAACATAACTGTACAATCCGAATGATAATAGATACGTGATTTTCTTAAAATGTATAATTCAAGCCAACAATTTGACATCTTCGAAATTCTAGAAAACATAATTCTTTCAGTAATGCCAATCATAATTGCCATACAGTACTCACTAAACATGATAAATTAGACACATGTGCAACTCTTGGGTATCTTTATTGATGAAATGTTTCGCCACACAGTGGCTTCATCAGTCCATACAAAGGAGAAATGGGAAGAACAGGAGGAGAGTGAGGTAATCAGTCCCTCAACCTTGAGTCGATGTGGTCAGTCCATCAATCTTGAATCAACTCAAGGTTGAGGGACTGATTACCTCATTCTCCTCCTGTTCTTCCCATTTCTCCTTTGTATGGACTGATGAAGCCACTGTGTGGCGAAACGTTTCCTCAATAAAGATACCCAAGAGTTGCACATGTGTTTAATTTATCAACGTGTCGGTTCTCTGAACCATTCATCTACTCACTAAACATAAATTTATACTTATGATAAATTATTTTTTATTATTATCACACTGGCCGATTCCCACCAAGGCAGGGTGGCCCGAAAAAGAAAAACTTTCACCATCATTCACTCCATCACTGTCTTGCCAGAAGGGTGTTTTACACTACAGTTTTTAAACTGCAACATTAACACCTCTCCTTCAGAGTGCAGGCACTTTACTTCCCATCTCCAGGACTCAAGTCCGGCCTGCCGGTTTCCCTGAATCCCTTCATAAATGTTACTTTGCTCACACTCCAACAGCACGTCAAGTATTATGATAAATGTGTGTTTTTAAAACATGTATACAGTGCACTTCTATAATTTACACAACTTGGGCTCCTGGAAATAAGCTCTACTTGTGATATTGCAACTTGTGATGTGAATAACATATGGATAAAATAGGGCTGCATTCTTGGCTCTTATAAAATTGCCAGACATAGTTTGGATAAATATTTTGTTTCTTCAAAAATAATTTTTTTTTTAATGTAACATATTAGTTGATATGGCCCTATGCAGTACCTGTATTGTAGCGAGTAGCAGTGAAAGAGAAGTGCTGTAGCAAAAAAATTTATGTAAGAAATTTGTAGCCTAAAATCTGGTTACTAATACCTAACAATCTTAGTGGAAATGGTAGCTGGGACCCTTCTGGACTGAGGTTGTGGTTGTTGGATTGATGTTGTCTGTTGGGATCTTGTGTTGACATTAATACAGTTTTGCTAATTGATGGTTGTACTGGAATGCTCAGATATTCTGTAATACATCTCTGCTCTGTTTTACCTTGAAATACTTTACACAATTGATAAGGCATTGCTGCTTGCTCCAGATCATGCTTTACAATAGTACTTCAAAGATTTGTCAAGGATATTACAGTTAGTCTGCAGCTTTCTCCATGGGGAAGTGGAGCAGATTTCTTCCTCCATAAGCCATGAGTGTCATAAGAGGCAACTAAAATGCTGGGAGCAAGGGGCTAATAACCCCTTCTGTATAAATTACTAGATTTAAAATGAGAAATTTTAATTTTTTTGTTAGATCACCTTGCCTCAGTGGGATGTGGCCAGTTCGTTGTAAGGACAAGAAAGATGTCTGGAGCTTTCATAGTAGGTTGGTAGACAGCATCCACCCAGGGAGGTTGTAACATCCTGCCAAGTGACTGTAAAATTGAAACCTGTAATTGTTTTACATGATGGCAGGATTGCTAGTGTCTTTTTTTTTTTTTCTGTCTCCTAAACATGCAAGATTTCAGGTACGTCTTGCTACTTAGGTCACACTGCACAAACAGACAAGCATATATATTTATATACAAGCGCCCCTCTGCCGGTTTGTTGAAAGATGATGATGTCTGCAGCTTTACCGGTTTTATGCAGTGTCTCCAATGTCTCAGTTTCAACTTGGCAAATTCAGATTCTTCCTCATCTTCTATTAACTCCTTACCCTCTGAGAAATGAGCTCCTCCTACATTTCTTTTGCAGTTTGTTGTTCATCATCATTTATTTCTTCTGCCTGCATATCTTAAGAGAACTCTCCTGACTTTCCTTGTCAGATTTAAACTTTCCTGGATCGGATTGTATTAAGGAAGTAAGATCAGCCAATGCACTTTTCCACACTGAATTTTGTTATGCAGCATGCTGCACACTTTAAACCAGTGGAACTAGTCAAAACTGAACGAACACTCTTCTGCAGGTTTTCTGTCTTGCTCTAGCATCGTCTTAGAGTAAGGCGACATTTTTCCTATACAGATGTGACAGAGTGAACAGGCAAAAGGTGGGGGTTGGCCTGTACATTGCAGAGTCACTTGTTTGCACAGAACTGCTTAATGCCTCAAATGATGTAGTGGAAGTTTTAGCAGTAAAGGTCGAGAACCAAAACCTAGTCATTGTGGTAGTCTACAAGCCTCCGGATGCAACATCCCAGCAATTCCAGGAACAGCTGTTAAAAATTGACGACTGTCTGGAAAATCTTCTAGCTCCTGCACCCAACATCTTGCTCCTGGGGGATTTCAACTTAAGGCACCTAAAATGGAGGAATATAGCAAATAATATTGTTGCAGTAATAACACCAGGAGGCAGCTCTGATGAAAACTCACACTCACACGAGCTTTTAAATCTCTGCACAAAATTCAATTTAAACCAGCAAATAATAGAGCCTACTAGACTGGAGAATACACTAGACCTCATCTTCACTAACAATGATGATCTGATAAGAAATGTCACCATATCAAAAACAATATACTCAGATCACAACATAATTGAGGTTCAGACATGTATGCGTGGAGCCCCAGACCGACATAATGAGACTAGTCACGAGGGAGCATTCACCAAATTCAACTTCAATAACAAAAACATAAAGTGGGACCAAGTAAACCAAGTCCTAACCGATATAAGCTGGGAAGATATACTAAGCAACACAGACCCCAACTTATGCCTAGAACAGATTAACTCGGTGGCACTCGATGTATGCACAAGGCTTATTCCTCTAAGAAAAAGGAGGAGTAGATGTAAAATAGAAAGAGACAGGCCCTCCCTTTACAGGCGACGGAAAAGAATAACAGAGCGGCTAAAAGAGGTCAATATATCTGAAATGCGTAGGGAGACACTGGTCAGAGAAATAGCAAGCATCGAACTTAAGCTAAAAGAATCCTTTAAGAGTCAGGAATCGCGGGAAGAACTAAAAGCCATAAATGAAATCGAAAGAAACCCAAAGTATTTCTTCTCCTATGCCAAATCAAAATCGAGAACAACGTCCAGTATTGGGCCCCTACTTAAACAAGATGGGTCCTACACAGATGACAGCAAGGAAATGAGTGAGCTACTCAAGTCCCAATATGACTCAGTTTTTAGCAAGCCGCTAACCAGACTGAGTCGAAGATCAAAATTAATTTTTTATGAGAGAGCCACAAAATTTGATTAACACAAGCCTATCCGATGTTATCCTGACGCCAAATGACTTCGAACAGGCGATAAATGACATGCCCATGCACTCTGCCCCAGGGCCAGACTCATGGAACTCTATGTTCATCAAGAACTGCAAGAAGCCCCTATCACGAGCCTTTTCCATCCTATGGAGAGGGAGCATGGACACGGGGGTCGTCCCACAGTTACTAAAAACAACATACATAGCCCCACTCCACAAAGGGGGCAGTAAAGCAACTGCAAAGAACTACAGACCGATAGCACTAACATCCCATATCATAAAAATCTTTGAAAGGGTCCTAAGAAGCAAGATCACCACCCATCTAGAAACCCATCAGTTACACAACCCAGGGCAACATGGGTTTAGAACAGGTCGCTCCTGTCTGTCTCAACTATTGGATCACTACGACAAGGTCCTAAATGCACTAGAAGACAAAATGAATGCAGATGTAATATATACAGACTTTGCAAAAGCCTTCGACAAGTGTGACCATGGCGTAATAGCGCACAAAATGCGTGCTAAAGGAATAACAGGAAAAGTCGGTCGATGGATCTATAATTTCCTCACTAACAGAACACAGAGAGTAGTCGTCAACAGAGTAAAGTCCGAGGCAGCTACGGTGAAAAGCTCTGTTCCACAAGGCACAGTACTCGCTCCCATCTTGTTCCTCATCCTCATATCCGACATAGACTAGGATGTCAGCCACAGCACAGTGTCTTCCTTTGCAGATGACACCCGAATCTGCATGACAGTGTCTTCCATTGCAGACACTGCAAGGCTCCAGGCGGACATCAACCAAATCTTTCAGTGGGCTGCAGAAAACAATATGAAGTTCAACGATGAGAAATTTCAATTACTCAGATATGGTAAACATGAGGAAATTAAATCTTCATCAGAGTACAAAACAAATTCTGGCCACAAAATAGAGCGAAACACCAACGTCAAAGACCTGGGAGTGATTATGTCGGAGGATCTCACCTTCAAGGACCATAACATTGTATCAATCGCATCTGGTAGAAAAATGACAGGATGGTTAATGAGAACCTTCAAAACTAGGGAGGCCAAGCCCATGATGACACTCTTCAGGTCACTTGTTCTATCTAGGCTGGAATATTGCTGCACACTAACAGCACCTTTCAAGGCAGGTGAAATTGCCGACCTAGAAAATGTACAGAGAACTTTCACGGCGCGCATAATGGAGATAAAACACCTCAATTACTGGGAGTGCTTGAGGTTCCTACCTCTTCAAGGGGGGCTCCTTGGCGTGGTGAAGAGGCTCTTGGTCTGAGGAATTAGCCCTGTCGGTCTTCTTCCTCAGACCGAACCTAATTACCCCCCATTCTCCCTCCCCTATCCCATCCTCCCCATTTTCCATTCCTCCTCCTCCTCCTCACCCCTCCCTTTTGCCCTTCCTCTTTTTGGCCTTTGGGATTTCTCCCACAGGCGCGCTAGTTCCTAGGTAGAGGAAAGGACACTGGGGTCCATCCCATTCCTTTGAGGTTCTTGGCGGTGGCGTAGTTTGCCGTGGAATCTGGATTGCCTGGGGATGTCCCGATCCCTCTCCGTTATCCCGGACTAGCTTTGGGTGTCTTTCGGGCGACCGGTGTATCTCTGGAAGCCACTTTTCGGATTCCGGGGGTGGTGGCCGAAGGAGGTATGCTTTGTGGCGGATATCCGGCTGCCCTCTCTTTTGTCCACCGAGGTAGCTCGGCAGATGTGAGGTTGCTATCCCGGATTGCTGGTTTACTGGCATGAAGGGTAGGGTATGGCACGGGTTCCATGCTGCATCTGCGCTACTAGCGGTGTTGAGGTCCTCTTGGGCGCGGAGGGAGATTTCCGGCCCTTTCATTCCTCCTGGAAACTATTCCTCTCTGCTCCCCCCTTTTTTTATTCTTTTTTTAATTTTATTTTCTTTTCTTCTTTCTTTTTTTTCTTAAAAACAAAAAGCAAAGGAGTAACCTAACCATGGCAGCCCTAGTCCATGAACCCACTTCCCCTGGGCCCCTTCTTGATACCGCACCCCATTCTGACCCTGCCTTGTGTTTAGACCACTCTTCGGACACTCGTGATGCCCCTGTACCTCTTGCTGGTGCTGTTTCC